TAAGAGTAATCTCTCTAATAAATATCATACTCTTCTGATCTACTTATACTTGTGTTTTTTACTACGCATAATAGTAATAAGTCTATTTTGATATTTAATTACTGGTTGAGTTAGTCTGAATTTGATTGTTTTATATAGGGCTTACAGTTGTTCATTCTAAAAGTTCTGTCTTTAATTTTCTTACTGTAAAAAATAGTTTACTGATTTCTTAGATATCTAAAATTCACATTGGAAATTGTGAAACTAATACATTTCGGTTATAAGCTATAAACCCTTTCTTTGAATAGTGGATATATCTTCCAGTTTCTGACACACTCCAGTGCAACTGACAAATACAACAAACAATTGGGAATCGGTGCATTTGTTGTAAAGGAATTTTTGAGCCATTGTGTGTATACATTGCAACATACTGTATGATTCCGTTGAACCCATAGTAAATGTGCAACGCTATAGCAGAGAGAAAAAAAAGGGTTGGTGTCCCGCAGCCTCACGTCATCAACAGCTGCAACCGACACATGGGCGGCGCTGATTTATATGATAATGGAGTTGCTTATTATCGTATTGGGAATAGAAGCAAAAAGAGGTGGTGGCCATTATGGGTACTGTGTTTAGATAGCGCTGTAGTAAACGCTTGGAAACTAAATTGCTTTGTCGCTACTTCTAACAACACAAAACCGATGCCTCAGTTAGACTTCAAGAATTTCATTGCCAGAAACCTTCTTGTATCAGAGAACTCAATGTTCAGTACAAAAGCTACCGCTTACGATGATTTGAAAAAGGAAAGTCACAGTGCTGCAGAAGATGTTTGTCTTCCGGGAAATTTACCAATGCCACAGTTTTTATATATGAAAAGTGCCATTTAAATGGTCTTGTAGAAAATTGCTTCAAAATTTTCTATGAAAATAAACAATATTACATTGATCGAAGACAATGACGCAAGTAAACTTATTTCTTTTTACATAATATATGTTAATACATATTTGAGAATTCAAATATATTTTTTGATTAATAAATATTTGAAAAGCATAAAACATAAAACTCTGTACTATCAAAGATAAAAAAAATGTGCTATGGATCCCAGCGTGCGGTTGACCACACGGCACTTTTCCGGAAAACTACTGTTGAATATTTGTTTATATTATATTATATTATTATATATGAATATTTTGTTTTTATTAATTTTGTGTGAATAATTCGTTATTTTTATTTGTATTGTAATAATTGTGTTAAATATATTTGGTGTAAAAAATAGCTTTGTCAATGCAATGCCCAAAGTACGTCATACGCTTCTGTTGGCACATGAAAACAAAAGCGTCAAATTTCGTCTGCAAGAAAATGCACTCTTGTAGTTTCCAATAAGTTCATTGTTTGGCATGCATGGTCAAGGTTATTTTAGTTAATTTATTTGTTGTAAATTAATTATCAATTTTAAATAAAAGGCACAATTGAATTTTTGACAAGTCTATTGATGCGAAGCCACATTCGTTATCGATTCTTTTTGTTCGTTCTAATAGCTTGTAGATTTGGTTCAAGTATCAAATTTACACCATATAAGGACCTGACTACTGGATTCAAGTGTTCAGTAATCAGGATAATTTAGGACAATCTTCAAATCACTGGGTTCAAGGTCTCAGTGGTTATCGTGTTCAAATAAGTCAACATAAGTACTGGATTTAAGAGTTCAGTACTTGCAAACAGTTGATTTCAACTTTTGATTCAGCGTGTGATCATACATTTTAGTGACTCCGTGAAACGGACAGCAGCACAGGACTGGTTTGACGCAGCAACAGTCAACAATCAACAGTCAGCGGTTAAGTTTCAGCATTCAGCATTCGAAAAACATTTTGAAGAACATTTGGCAAAAAACTCCAAATCATCAATGACAACTCTTAATGAACTCATAGATGCCCAAAAAGAAAAGGGCGAAGAGATTCAGCGAATCATCAGGAACTTCAAAAAGGATTCGGCTGAACGCAAGCAAACATCAGCATACTACAGTGAAAGATTTCGTCGGTTTGATGTTGCTTGGAAGCAGTTTGAACAAACCGACACAATGCTCAGAACTCTCATCGATCAACCGACAGATGATGAGTATTTCACATCTTCCTATTACGAGAAAATAAGAGAACTAACAAATGAATACAGTGAAATATTCAAGACAGAAGCCCTTCGGATCAAAGCAGCAGACAACTTTGGTGAAGCTGCTAGTAACCAAATGGCATCACAGCCGCAACTAGTGGCTACGACAAATGGTTTAATAAGAAAAATATCTGCTCGAATGGCAGCTTTAAAAAGATTAGTAGAAAGTTTGTTAGAGAGCGAAAGCATACAACCACTTCAATATTTCGAAATTAAATCAAACACAATCATGCAACATTGGAACCAATTGGGATGTTTGCATGATGAACTCTGGGAAAACTTTGAAAATCCACTGATGTCAGGATTCAATCAAGATGAATATTACCAAATTGAAGATTTGGTACAACAATGTTTGATAGAGTTGTCCATAAAATTGGATCAATTACAACAGAAACAAGCAACAGTAGCAGAACCAAACATGCGGTCCTCACTACCATTGCCAAAGGTAACAATCCCAAGTTTTAATGGGAATTACTTAAAATGGAGGCAATTTTTTGACTTGTTTACACAAATGGTAGACAATCAGCCATTACCAGCTGCTCAAAAAATGTGGTACTTGAAATCACATGTGACAGGTGAAGCTGAAAAATTGAAAAGTCATTTCAGCATAACGGAGGACAATTATTCGGCAGCTTGGACATTACTGCAAGACCGTTATAATAATAAAAGGGTCTTGGCGTCCACGTTAATCGATGAACTTCTAAATCAGCCATCAGGCACATCAACTGTGGCAGCAGTTAAAAATTTACATGACACAACGAAAGAGTGTCTATTAGCACTAAACAATCTTGGCGTTCAAACGACTTTTTGGGACCCAATTTTGTTACAGGTACTAATTAAAAAACTCGATCGGGCGATGCTCATTAGATATGAGCAATCTCTGGCAAAACCAAAAGAGATACAAAACATTCAGGAGTTTTTAGCCTTTTTAGAACTACAGTTTCGACTGATGGAAGTTGTAGAACAAAAAGATAAGGTGGCTATAAAAATTAAAACAAATCGAAATAACTCAGTGTCATCGGCTGTAACAGTTTCTAAAGGAAACAACAATTGCAAACTGTGCAATGTAGACAGGCACCCACTGTATCATTGCCGTAAATTCTTGCAATTTTCACCATCTCAACGATTGGATTGGGTGAAAAATCAACAGCTCTGTTTTAACTGTTTCAGAAATGATCATGTGGTGAACAAATGTTCATCAAGAAGTTGTACCAAATGTAATAAAAAGCAACGTGTTATGTTGCTACATTTGGAAGTTAACAATCAAACAAAACAAAACATTCAACCTAGCTCAAGTGGGTACAACACCGCAGTTACCACAGCGACAGCAAACACATCCACAGGTCATCGTGATTATGTTCTCTTGCCAACTGCAAGAGTCAAAATAACTGCATCTAATGGAAATACAAGTGAAGTCCGAGCATTACTAGACTCTGGTTCGCAAGTGAACATAGTCTCTGAGGGTCTTGTCAAAAGGCTCAATATATCAAAAACAAAATCGTTATTGTGCATAGAAGGTATAGGAAAGGTGCAAAAAAATTCAACGCAGCGGGTTAACATCAAATTGCAATCACTTAACTCAAGGACTTGTTCGTCGAAGTTCTTAAGGAATTTCCAGGTACAATTCCCAAATGTCGCGACGGTGGATGGTTTCAGGGCCATGTGAAACTAGTCGCCTGCGTTGATCAGCGTTCTGTTGATCTCTTTCGCATTGCCATCTCCAGAATGGGTGAGGTCTGGCCAGGCGCAAAGCTTAAAGTCGTTGCCAAGGAACAAATTCCTGGCCGACCTAGGGCGCGTTCCTGGATTCCAGCCGAACCATCCGACCCTCAGCGGATTCTGGAGCTAATTCGGGTGGGAAACCCTGATCTAAATACGTCCACGTGGAAGGTCACTAAGCTGGAAGAAGCCAAAGGCAAGTTTAGGTCGGTCAGTTTTGTGATCGACAAAGCCTCTCTGGCCATTTTGGCGCGATCTGGTGGCGTATTAAATTACGGTTTTTTTCCCCATAACTATGAGGGTCTACAAAAAAGATGAGGAGCAATCCTCGTCTGATGTACGGGAATCAGCGGCAATTTCTCAACATACTGCTGATCCCTTATCGAAAGTGGGCAATATTAAGCCTGCTTCCATGACCGAAGTGAGTCCGGTTATTCCATCTGAAGACTCACCTGTGTGCATGGACATTTCAGTGTCTGCTCCTTCGCCAGCTCACTCAATTACATCAGAGGAGAGCATAGGCATGCGCTATCTTTTCGATGAAGAGGAACTCCTAATGAGTAATGACTCTGAGGAGGATAGTGCTCTTGATGTCACTGTGGTGGAAAAAAATGGATCCACACATACTGAAGATGCGGGTACAGCAAATTAACCTGCATCATAGCAAGGCTGCATCCGCCAGTCTACTGCAACGCCTCAGCAACAACGAGGCTGATATGGTCCTGATACAAGAACCATGGATTTATAAGGATCTTGTATGCGGAATCAGGGCTAATAACTACAACCTATTTTATGCGGTAAATAAGGGTAAGCCTAGGTCCTGCATAGTGGTTAATAAAAAATTTAATGCTCTCTTACTTTCGCAATATAGTGATGGTGACCAAACCGCAGTAAGTATCGAGGGCTCCTGGGGCCAAATATGGGCAGTATCTGCATATCTGGCACATGACCATGCCACAATACCATCGAATGTCCTGATACAGCTAACAAGCAGCGCCAGGAGACTCGGGGTAGAGCTTCTAATAGGTTGCGATGCCAACGCTCATCATGAGGTTTGGGGCAGCTCAAATACTAATGAAAGAGGTGAGTTACTTTTTGATTTTGTATTTAGTAACAATCTGTTCATCTGCAATGATGGCAATATGCCAACTTTTATTACTAAAAACAGGCAGGAAGTGTTAGATGTCACTCTTGCTACTGCTAGGCTTCACGAATCGGTCAAGAACTGGAAAGTGTCCACTCAACACTCGTTCTCAGACCATATGATTCTAGAATTCACCTTAACCTTAGATGAATCGAACATCTGCAATCAAAAAACTTTCAGAAATGTTAAAAACACAAACTGGACGAATTATAATGCAGCTCTAAGTGAGCTGCTTTTAACCACTTCCTCCGATCCCCCTGGGAACACTTTTGATCTAGACAATCAAGTCCAAGATCTCACCTCAGTGCTCAACGAAGCTTTCAGTTATGCTTGTCCCCTCACACAACCTAGTAGGAAATGTAACCCACCTTGGTGGAATAAGCATCTAGGTCTTTTACGAAAGGAGTGTAGGAGACTCTTCAACAGAGCAAAACTATATAATAATGAGAGTGATTGGCTGAATTACAAAACCTCTCTGCAAGAATATAAGAAAAATTTACGTAGGTCCAAGAGAGACACTTGGCAATCGTACTGTCAAGAAATAAATAGCAATTCTGAAACCTCTAGACTGCGTAAAATCTTATCCAAAAATCCATCTGTCCCAGAGTTACTCAAAAAATCTGACGGGACATGGTGCAATAATAGTAGCGAATCTTTACAATTACTACTAGATACTCCCTTTCCGGGATCTTCTACTTCGGTAGCTGCATCCTCAGAGTGCCTTAATCTCTCACCGGTTAACTCTATTAAGGTTAACCTGCAGATCGTCAAATGGGCTATTTTTAGTTTTAAACCCTACAAATCACCAGGACCGGATGGTATTCATCCAATTGAGCTCCAGAATTCGTGGGAGTTAATACACAACCGGCTTTTGGCAATTTTTAGACATTGTTTCTTATTTAACTATGTCCCGATTAAATGGAGGGAGGTTAGAGTAGTTTTTATACCCAAAGCAGGAAAAACTTCGCACCATAACCCCAATGAACTCCGTCCTATAAGCCTCTCCTCTTTCATGTTGAAGGCTCTTGAAAGAATAATAGACGTAGAAGTAAGGCGTGCTGTAAGCCCCAACCAGTGGTCCCCCTACCAGCATGCCTACACTAAGGGAAAATCTACAGAGACAGCTCTCCACTCCCTCACTTACAGAATAGAAAAATCCATAAAACTCAAAGAATTTTGTATGGTTGCTTTTGTAGATATTGAAGGGGCCTTTAACAATATACTCCCGAGTGCAATAGTAAGCGCGATCTCGCGTCTGGGTGTTGATGATGCGCTCATTGGCTTTATAAATCAGCTGCTAACTGGCAGACTCATTGAAGCAACGATGGGCTCATCAACGGCACGCAGAAGGGTAAATAGAGGTACCCCCCAAGGAGGAGTACTCTCCCCTCTCCTTTGGAACATAGTGGTGAATGAACTGCTAATACAACTGAAGGCGGAGGGATGCGAAACTATTGCATATGCGGATGATATTGCGATAACAGTCACCGGAAAATATACTACCACTCTTAGGGATATTCTACAAAATGGTCTTAATATCCTAAACAATTGGACACAAAAATGTGGCCTTGGGGTGAATCCCAATAAAACTGAAATCGTAGTTTTCACAAGAAAACATACGGTCCCGAATCTTTCTCCACCCTCTCTACGAGGTTCTGTGATACATGTGAAGGAGGAAGCCAAATTTTTAGGTATAGTTTTCGACAGGAAACTCACTTGGAAGAAAAACACTCTAGAGCGTCCAAGAAAAGCCAATGTTGCGCTTCTTCTATGTCAGAAAGCTATTGGTAAGAAGTGGGGTCTTCAACCTCGCATCACCCAATGGCTATATATAACTGTTATTAGACCCATATTGATGTATGGTATTACGGTATGGTGGACAGCTCTTGATAAATCTTCGTACTGCTCAGTACTTAACAGGATTCAGCGTAGAGCTGAACTCTGTATTAGCGGGGCGCTATGCACCACACCATCCATTGCACTAGATTTGATGCTTCAGTTACTGCCAATGGATATTATTAGTAAACAAATGGCAGCTTCATCTGCTTTAAGACTAAAAGCTACCTCACAATGGAGAGACAGTGACTATGGTCATGCCTCCATTCTAAATCTTTTCAATTTTACTCCTAAAAACGTTGATTACATCACACCCACTCTCAACTTTGACAGGAAATTTGATGTCGTGTTTCCATCTAGAGAGGTATGGACGTCAGGTGGCCCCTTCTTAGATGAGGGCGTAACCATCTTCACTGACGGATCCAAAACAAGTAGTGGTGTAGGTAGTGGAGTTTTCTCAGAGGAATTGAACAAATCTTCCTCCTTTAGGCTTCCAGATCATTGTAGTGTCTTTCAGGCGGAAGTTGTAGCCATCAGGGAAGCTATAGCTTGCTTGAATGTAGATGATATATTTGGCAGGAATATATACATACTATCAGACAGTCAAGCTGCATTAAAGTCCTTGAGTACGGTCCAATTTACATCTAGGACGGTTCTTGACTGCTACACATCTCTAAACGAAATGTCGACGCAGCTCAATATTTCTCTAATCTGGGTTCCCAGCCATAGGGATATTTTCGGAAATTGCAAAGCAGACGAGTTAGCCAAAAAGGGTGCTTCAGAACCATCCTCGGAGCACCTAGACTATCTGGGCATATCGCTAACATCATGTAAACTGATATTGAGTTCTTTCTGCGCTAATACTTTTAATAAAAGATGGGAAGACTCAACGATATGTAGACATCTGTATGCAATCTGGCCACTTTCCGATAAAAGGGAATCGAAAACTCTCATTGAGATGTCCCGCAAGGACATTGGTCTTCTGGTAGGGTTGATTACAGGGCACTGTAAGCTAGGGAACCATGGTAGAAGACTAGGTCTTCCTTTCAACCAAATCTGTCGTAGCTGTGGGGAGGACGATGAGAGCGCATCTCATCTGTTGTGTTTTTGTCCAGCTCTTGCACGTCGGCGATTTAGTACTCTAGGGGCCCCCTTCCTTGAAGACCTGGACCAGTTACAGGATCGGGCTTTAAATAGCATTTTATGCTTCGCAAAAGGTTCTAGGTGGTTTTAAACCCTGAGGTTTCTTTTACTTTCTTTTAGTATTTATATACGGCATCACAATGGGCCAATAGGCCTAAGTGGATCCACTAGGGATCACCGGTATAACCTAACCTAACCTAACCTAACTCAAGGTTTACTACAGAAGTCAAAGCGTTTGTGCTTCCAAATATAGTTCCACCTCAACCAGGTTGCAGCTACGATATTTCCAAATGGAAAGTCCCGAACAGCATTCAGTTAGCAGATCCAACATTTTTCCAACAAGGGAAAATTGATATTTTACTCGGTGCGGAGTTCTATTTTAGTCTGTTAAAGAAAGGTAAATTAACGCTTGCTCCTGGGCTTCCAGTCTTGCAAAATTCTACACTTGGCTGGATTGTCAGTGGCAAGGTTGCATCAAATACAGACACATCAAACGTTTTATGTGCAGTTTTTGGCGGTGGGGCGGAGGTTGTTGATAATAATTCATCATTAGAAAATGCAATTGAACGATTATGGCGAATGGATGACGTGAATACAACAGAGAGGACATTATCCAAAGAAGAAAAATTATGCGAATCTCATTTTGTTCAGAACGTTCATACAAATAAAGAAGGACGTTTTGTGGTAAGGTTGCCGTTTCTGGAAAACTCATTGACGTTAGGAGAATCTCAAGAAACAGCTTGGAGAAGGTTCATCAGTCTTGAACGACGACTACGAAAAAATGATGTTTTGCGGAAACAATATGTGCAGTTTATGGAAGAGTATGATCGAGTGGGTCACATGACTGAAGTAAACTTGAATCCCATGTTGACTCCAAGATATTTCATTCCTCATCATTGCATACTAAAACCAGATAGTACAACTACTAAACTTCGAGTGGTGTTTGACGCATCAGCCGAAACTGGACACTCGTTGAATGATTTAATGTATAACGGACCGACAGTTCAAAGTGAACTCTTTTCAATTCTGCTCCGTTTTAGGCGACCACGGTTTGTTTTTACCACAGATATCGAGAAAATGTATCTTCAAGTTTTGATAAATCCTGAAGATCGACGCTATCAACTTATCATTTGGAGAAGCAGTCTAAATTCAACGAATCATTATTATCAGCTAAACACAATAACATATGGGACTCGAGCAGCTTCTTACCTAGCAACAAGATGTCTGCAAAAGATAGCATTAGAAAACAAGGTGAATTATCCATTGGGAGCTCAAATCCTGTGTGACAATTTCTACGTTGACGATGGGCTCGGTGGATCAGATAGTTTAATTACGGCTATTGAAGCTCAAAGGCAATTAATCCATATTTTAAAGAAGCATCAGTTTTATCTACGGAAATGGAGTGCAAACCATCCTCAACTTTTGAAAAACATTTCTCAAGATCATCAAGTGGTAAATCTAGATTTTACTAATGATAATAACGAGTCAATCAAAACGCTGGGACTATTTTGGTTGCCCAAAGCGGATTTATTTGGAATTAAGGTCAAAATGGAAGGTATAATCACGAAGAGAGTCGTTAGTTCTGATTTAGGTAGACTGTTCGACCCACTTGGGTTATTAGCTCCAGTAATAGTGAAGGCAAAGATTTTCATACAACACTTATGGCAGTTGAAATTATCTTGGGATGAACCACTTCCTACAGATCTTTGTACAACATGGTCAACATTTAGAGAAAACTTAAGTACTCTTGAAAATCTTCAGGTGGCAAGACATATCTTCAGAGGCGAGGTTCCATCATCAACACAGCTACATATTTTTGCTGACGCATCTGAAAAGGCATTTGGTGCTGCAGCATATGTCAGAGCAATTTTAAAAGATGGTAGAATAATAGTGCGACTATTATGTGCAAAGTCAAGAGTAGCACCACTCAAAAAACAAACGCTGCCGCGACTAGAGCTATGTGCAGCAGTCTTAGCAGCGGAACTCTCAGCAAGAGTGAAAAGCGATCTTCAAGAGAAGGACCAGCCGGTATTTTTGTGGACAGATTCAGAAATTGTGTTGTCTTGGGTCAATTCACAGTCTTCATCATTTCAAACATTTGTAGCTAACAGGGTAGCAAGAATTCAAACATTAACTCTGTCTGAGCAGTGGCGACATGTTAGGTCAAAGGACAACCCAGCTGATGTGTTATCAAGAGGACTTTTAGCAAAGGCGTTGTCAACATGTGCACTTTGGTTTCAAGGACCGTTCTTTTTGCATGGAAGGCAGGAAGTATGACCACCAAGGTTTTCATCATCATTACAAGTTCCAGTTGATCTGGAGAAGAAAAAGGTTGTAGCTGTAGCAACTCAAAGCAATGACGCAGATTTCATATACAGGATTTAGCACAAGAATTCATTTAAGACGTTACAAAAGATAGTAGCATATGTTCTTAGATTCACTAACAACGCAAGAAAATCAAAGGAGTCACGTGCCACACATATAGTACTTAGTGCCAACGAATTGGATGCAGCATTAATAACTATAATATGTCACATTCAGGGTAATGATTTTCATGAAGAAATCAAACAACTGAAGAAACAAGGCCATGTTGATAAATCTAGTTCAATCAGTAGTTTATCTCCATTCATTGATAATGCAAATGTTCTTAGAGTAGGAGGACGCTTAGAAGCCTCATCATTACCATACGATTCTAAACACCCAATGCTGATCCCATACAATGATCCATTGGCAAAATTATTATTCGTGATGTTCCATGAAGAAAACAAGCACTGTGGCCCGCAGGCACTATTGAGTATAGTCCGACAACGTTTTTGGCCGATTAAAGGTAAATCAACAGCCCGAGCAACGGTTCAGCGATGCATTCGATGTAACAAAGCACGTCTGCAACTATGCCAACAAATTATGGGCAATTTACCAGAATCAAGAATAACTCCTGCAAGACCCTTCATTAATGCTGGTGTAGATTATTGCGGACCATTTTGGATCCACTACAAGGTGAGGGGCAAAAAGCCAACAAAGGCATATATTGCTGTCTTTTGTTGCTTTTCTACAAAGGCGGTACATCTCGAGTTAGTGACCGACTTATCAACAAATGCTTTCATTGGAGCATTAAAACGATTTATAAGTCGACGAGGGCGTTGTTTGAATATTTACAGTGATAACGCAACAAACTTCGTAGGCGCCAAAAACCAGTTAGCAGAATTAGAAGAAAGCATTTATTCTAATGAAGGACAAGAAGCAATAATCTCTGCCTGCAGTACCACAGGAATAAACTTTCATTTTATTCCACCAAGGGCTCCACACTTTGGCGGTTTATGGGAAGCATCCGTAAAGTCCGCAAAATATTTGTTACTACGCAGCGTTTCAACAGCATCATTGACGTATGAAGAACTCGAAACAGTAGTGATGGAAATTGAAGCGATATTAAATGCACGACCATTGATTCCAATGTCCAATGATCCAACTGATTTGACAGCATTAACTCCAGGACACTTATTAATTGGAGAAGCTCTTACAACTCATGTAGACAGCCGATTAAAACCAAAAAAACACACGTTATTGTCACGTTGGAACCTAGTTTCCCAGTTAAAACATAATTTCTGGAAACGCTGGTCTAACGAATATTTGATGGAACTGCAACAACGTAACAAATGGAAAACACAATCTGCCAACATACAGTTAGGAGACATGGTTATAATTAAAGAAGATAACGTCCCAGTGATGCAGTGGCCCTTGGGACGAATTGTACATGTGTACAAGGGTACAGATGGACATATCCGAGTAGCTGATGTTAAAACATCGGCAGGCATTTTTAAACGCCCAATTCATCGATTAGCTATACTGCCTGTAAATACAGATGATCAACCAACAATGGCTGAAGCTGATCACGAAGTACCTCCTGACAATTTAATTATGAAAGATAGAAAAGAGTCGTATGAAGAGCCCAAGATAAAACGTAGAAAACTGCCGACCAATTTGTACTGTTCTGTATTACTTACACTATTACTGATATTGCCAATAGTAATAGGATCTCCAATTGACAATAAAAGGTTTGGCACAAAATTGGGTATTCACTTTGAAAATCTGGGCACAACTGCTATATCAACCACTGAATGGAATCTACTAGTTTATTATGATTTAAGTCTTTACTGGACGGAAGCAGCAGCTCTAAACACAGGAATAATGTCGCTACATCAAGCTTGTCAACAAATGAAACCAAACGCATTATGTGCGAATACAGTTAATCACTTTAAACATATTGAATCCGAACTACAACTCAATGATAAATTACTTCATGATCATCGCTTCAAAAGAGGAGCAATTGATCTTGTAGGCAATATTGCACACTCGCTGTTTGGAGTATTAGACTCAGAATATGTCAAAGGAATGTCAAATATAATTACAGAAGTGAAACAAAATGAAATATAACTATTGACGTTATTTAAGAATCAAACATCAGTTGTTGATTCAACAATCAACATAATGAAGAAAGATGAAATAGCAGTTCAAGAAGGTTTTGACCACATTGACGATGAAATAAAGGCATTGATAAATTTAATAAAAGATACAAATAGAGAGGTAAATCAATTACGGCTCAATCAAATTTTCAATGCAGAAGCCATTCAATTAACACTGGTAGCACATAATCTACAGAAGATACAATCTGCCATTATAGATGCTCTAACTGATACTCATCATGGAAAAGTGAATCCATTGTTTTTGACACCAACACAATTACAAAAAGAAGTTAATCAAATCAAACTTCATTTATCACCATCATTAGAATTACCGATGCCAGAAGATGAGTTAATATCCCTTTACAGACTAATGAAGGTTAAAGGTGGAATCACACAGCAGCATGCAGTTTTTAGTATAACATTACCCTTGATTGAACATGAACGATTTGAACTGTTTCAGCTAATTCCAATCCCGAACTGGGTAAATGACTCCATGACGGTAATTAACTCCTGCAGTTCTATTTTGGCTATTAATACGCAGCATGATCAATATTTTCCTCTTATAAAATCCGAATTAAGTCTTTGTGAGACCATTAAGGAAGAGGAATTTCTTTGCACCAACGTCCGCATACGATACAATTTTGGTTCCGAAGTATGTGCGTGTGAGGTCAACCTATTCAACAACAACACAATACCAAATTGTCGGTTGAAACACACTATCAACAAGCTGACCTGGATTCCATTGAATCACAAAAATCAATGGATTTATGCGACATCAACATCCTCACGAGCAACTGCAGTATGTAATAAGGAAATCATACCACTAAATCTAAAAGGTTCAGGTTTATTGACGATCGATCCAGACTGCCTGCTTAAACACAACTTTGTTTCCGTGCAAGGACAACAAATAATTGCAAGCACGTCAAGATATTCATACAGTAGTCTTGGTACAATCTCCGAATTAAGGCTACAACCCTCTATGAAGACATCAGATGCTTACAGCGGCAACAGTACACTGTCAACGGTACGCAACAACCAATACGATCAACAGCTTAAAGAACTCACAGTATTGCAGAAGGTGTTACAGTCATACCAGAGAAATGATCTTCCAAATCAATTTCAGTCACACAAGTACCACAGCTTCACCATAGCTTACGCTGCACTCGTTATAGGGCTGATATTAATCATAATCATGATGAAGAAGAAATTGCAGAAAAAACATGTTGAAATTCCATCCGATGAATTCCATCGCACGACACCTATACCCATGCCACGTCGACAGTCACGAGAATTCGTTATCAACATATAGTCGGACTGACTATCTGTCAGCTAGAGGCTCATATTGTTGAACGGTTGTTCAACGCGGGGGAGAATGTTGAATATTTGTTTATATTATATTATATTATTATATATGAATATTTTGTTTTTATTAATTTTGTATGAATAATTTGTTATTTTTATTTGTATTGTAATAATTGTGTTAAATATATTTGGTGTAAAAAATAGCTTTGTCAATACAATGCCCAAAATACGTCATACGCTTCTGTTGGCACATGAAAACAAAAGCGTCAAATTTCGTCTGCAAGAAAATGCACTCTTGTAGTTTCCAATAAGTTCATTGTTTGGCATGCATGGTCAAGGTTATTTTAGTTAATTTATTTGTTGTAAATTAATTATCAATTTTAAATAAAAGGCACAATTGAATTTTTGACAAGTCTATTGATGAGAAGCCACATTCGTTATCGATTCTTTTTGTTCGTTCTAATAGCTTGTAGATTTGGTTCAAGTATCAAATTTACACCATATAAGGACCTGACTACTGGATTCAAGTGTTCAGTAATTAGGATAATTTAGGACAATCTTCAAATCACTGGGTTCAAGGTCTCAGTGGTTCTCAAGTTCAAATAAGTCAACATAAGTACTGGATTTAAGAGTTCAGTACTTGGAAACAGTTCATTTCAACTTTTGATTCAGCTTGTGATCATACAACTACTTTTCAAAAAAAAATTTAATTTTGCAGGGAATATTTTTAACGTAAAATAAGACCTTTCTGAAAATTTCACCATAAAATTTAAAGTTTGAACTTGCCTGGTACTTAATGGGTTAAATAAAATTCGCGTTGCTCACACTACTCATTTTATTTTCTACTTTTATTAAAAACTAATAAGTATTTATTAAAAATTAATAATTTTTTACTAAAAATTTGTTTACATACGTAATTATTAATTTAATTTGTGTAAATTATTATTAACGCACGTTTAATGTTTACCACAAAATTAGACTAGGTTCTAATTTTACTACATCTTAAAGAGCAAATGTTGTTGCATGTTTTTACATTTTAACGCATTATTGCAAAGAACTCATAATATTAAAACAAGGGAACGAAGTTTATTGTGCTCTCAACTTGTGTGTACACAACAAGCACAAGCAGTGGATTATCGTTTCAACCGGTGAATCGATGCATTACCAGAGGTCAGAATATGCACTAGTTCCAAAAGAAATAACTCTAATATGTGATTGAATTTCTTTGTTTCTAATTTGTTTTAGTTTTCTCTTGTTCAAAAATAGAAGAATGCAATATCAAATTTTGTGCAAAAAAAGTATTGAGAAATTTTTATGTTCTAAGTGGCGATTGCACTCATCCCCACGTACCAGTCATTTCACTAGTTCCTTTGGACTACTTCGTGTACTAGTGCCTAGCGACAATTGTCTTCTAAGGAACTGCTGGGTGAAGCAATATTTCTGAAGTTAATGCATAGTCTTTGTGTTTGTATATTTTTCCTAAAATATATGAATGGATTTGTGTGCATGCAATTCACAAATAGTTTCAAATTATTATGAATTTGATTTTTGATGAAATTTTTTTCTGATCTCATACAAATATATGAAGTTTGCCTATTATGAGGTTAGTAAGCACCGGCAGTAGTACAGTACTATGCCCTGTAGTAGCAATGATATAAAGTATATTAATAAACACCAAATTGTTTTTTAAAATATTTTATTATTAAAGTTTAAAACATTAATTTATTATAAACATTGCATTTATTCTTAAATCTTATCTTACATAATAACTTATATAATTTACGAACTATTTACGATCTATTTACAATAATTATTACTTACAATAAATTCTATTTACAATAATTTATTTAAATATATTTCCATGAATATATAGAAATATAGCAAAAAATATATTCTTCCTGAAATATATACATTAATGTACTTTATATAATGTATATATTTTTTCTATGGGAAATATCTATACTTATATTATCATGGATATCAGCGATATTCAACCTGTTGGAAAATCACGAAAAAGCAAACCAACATTAGAAACAGTATAAACACATTACATTTCACGGTAATGTTATTTGCTGTTTACTATTCGACTCTGGAAAGTGTAACGACATAAATTTTTACGATAAATTTTTGTGTTACATAGTAGCTAGAAGAAGAGAAAAATACAGTTTGTATGTTAAATAACTGCCACCGCTACACCTAATATATTTAATAACTCACGTGAAAATAACTGAAGTAGACTTAGCTGAAAAAAAACATAAAATTGAATTAAAATGTTATTCAACATATCATGGACATTACCTGCGATCCTCGAAGCCAACGTGCCGCGGGCATTGATATATGCAATGTGCAGATGCTAATAAAAAAAAATGCAATAAAATTTTTATTTTTGTTTTAAATTGTTTATTATTATAAAACACGTTTAATTTTTTAACAAATATCTATTTGAAACAAATTTATAAATAAAAAGAGAAAAGAACAACAAACACAAAATAATTTCAACATTCTTGGTTGTACAAATTTATTTTATACACATAAACAAAACAAAACAAAACAAAAAAAAAACTCCGGCACCAACTAAGCACATCAACACTAGTTTTTTTTATTTCTAATTTGTTTAATTATAACTTCACATTTGGGGTTAAATATTATTGAATCCACAATATAAATAATTTTTACCTTGGTTTAAAATTATTAATTATTTTCACTAATTTTAAGAAAAACACACACAAAACACGGCGCGTAGTAAAAGAACTAAAAAAATCACGGCGAAGTAGAAGAAAAGGAAAACAGTAGAACACAAAGTTCAACTTCACGGCGAAGTCAAGTACAGCAATGATTACCGGTACGCTACACCAAAAAGCTCCGGTATGCTCGATATAAAAGGAGGCACATTTCATATAATCGCGGACTTGGTTTTCGACAAGTAAAAGAACAAGTACTCTGGCTCATTGAGCCTTCTGGTAAATTTTACCAAATACTTGAAATTTTACTTTTCCAAAACGAGTACACTGGCCTATTGGTCATCTGGCACATTGTGCCAAAAACCTGGCTCTTTGAGTCAAACGTAGTTTGAAATTTTATTCCTCGTCTTATGTGTACTATATTTTTTTAACCTGGCTCATTGGGTCAAATAGTTTTATTTCACAGCACGGAGTAAACGTTTTGTTTTAACAACAGAGGAGGGGCTCAGGAAGTCACACTGTGGTTGCCAAAAAAAATTTTTTTTTTACAAGTAATATATTGAGAAAGGAAATTCTGGCGTCAACATATATTTTTTTTTGATTATTATTAAAAAGCAAAAGGAATGTTTTTTTTTCAAGGAATAATCACTTATTATAGGCTAAATAATTTATTTGGAATTTGGTTAATTAAACTTTGTTAGATCATAAGTTTTTTTATGGAATAAATAAAGATATATATAATTTATATATATATAAAACAACGTTTTTTTTTCCTTCTAAAACAACGTCTCAGCGAAACTATAAATAAATTGTCTCGACTCTGGACGACGGCTGAGGATACCCCAGCAAAACTAAAAATTTTGAACGTCACCCAAAAGTGTCGTTACAAAAGTAATGCTAAGAAATCGCAAAAACAAGTGCTATTCAATGTCATTTGGGTGATGCAGAAGTATACAATGGAAATACGATTTTATATTTGTTGTTGATG